ACAAGGCCTTGGAGCTACAAGGTTCCTCAATAGTATATATACTAGAAGGTTTAGGAGACACAAGGTAAGATAATAAGAGAAGTCTCTCCTACCCAGGATATGATGGGAAGGAGGAGGCATGCCCACACAGGTGCAGGTCCAGGGAGATCTGGGGGAGGTTCCCTCGCCCCACCTGGGGGTGGGGGGGACATACCCACCAGCAGCTGTGGAAGGATTTCCCCACCGCACCTTGGGAGGGAACCGAACCCAAACCCGTGAAGAGATGGGGAGGAAGTTCCTCCACCCCACCATGTGAGGGGCCGGGGTCCACGATCGTGGGCAGCTAGGGAAGGATCCCCCCACCCCACCTTGGTAGAGAACGGAACCCAAACCTGCGGGGAGTGGGCGGGAAAGGATTCCCCACACCGCACCTTGTGAGAGGACGCAGGCCCGAGGGCAGCTAGAGGCTACCCTGCCCCCCGCCGGGGGAGAACGGGAAGAAGAGCAGGTAGCCCCGAACCTGCTCTCCAGCCGCCCCCCGTTTTCCGCAGTGGCTCCGGAGCGCGCAGACCGGCCCCCACAGGACAGACAATTGGACTCCAGGCAGTTCTTCCCTAACTCCCTGCGCATCGCCCCGGGCGGCGCGCCCGTCGCTCAGGCCAGGGCCTGTGAGGAGGCCGACGGCAGCCCGGCGGCCCCTGGCCGGGCCTCATTACCGCCCTCCCGCGAGAGGGAGCAGGCCCAAGGGCTGGTTTCCGCCTGCCACGTGTCGGCTGCGACCGAATGCGGGCCCGCGAGGGGCAGGGGAGCGGCCCGCTCTCCACGTACCTCCTTGACGGACAGGAACTCGAGCAGCGGGAAGACCAAGTGCCGGTCCAAGAAGTGCGCGATCCGGGTGGTCAAGTCGTACTCCGCCATCTTGGGAAAAGGGGCGGTGTCCCACCCGCGCCGCTTCACCAACGCGCACAGAGACGCGGACGCGACGCCGTGTTGGGAAAGGGGCGTGGTCAGAGTGAAGGTAATGCGCGCGCATGTAACCTCGCAGCCGGCGGGAGATGGTCTGCGCGCATGCGTGCGGGGATGGCCTGGGCCGCGCGCGTCCTGGGCGTGCTCGTGCTGAGGGCTTGCAGCCGGTCGGGATAGTAAAGAGGGAGGTTGGCCGCGCGTTTACCGCGCCTCGTGTCCTTCAGTACGCGCGTGTGCTGCTGCTGTGTGTGGCGGGCCCGCGCTAAGCGCTGGATCCGAGCACGCGGGGCTGCGGCTTGGCGCGCGGTGGTCGGCTCGCACTGCTGCCAAAGCGGGGAGTTAAAGAGCTTCATTTGTTACTTGCGTCTTGCCTTGTGCAAACCATCTACCAGCCATGACTGGAACTTACTAAACACAAACAGCTCTGCCTACACCAGGAGTGCAAGTAGGGTGGTACACTCCAGGACACAGTACCGGCAAGAAATTTTTAGCCAGTTCGGGGTACCGGAAAGACTTGGCGCTAGTCCCCCTCTCTGGAGGGGGGTGGGTGGGGCTGCGCTCTGCTCCTTAAAGGAGCAAAACATGGCTAGAGAGGACATTCATTCTTTATATGGCTTTAACAGCACAATGTATATGCTAACAAACTTAAACATAAAAAGAACAGGAGTACTTGTGGCATCTTAGAGACTAACAAATTTATTCGAGCATAAGCTTTCGTGGACTCCTTAGACACTAACAAATGTATTAGAACATAAGCTGTCCACGAAAGCTTATGCTCTAATAAATTTGTTAGTCTCTAAGGTGCCACAAGTACTCCTGTTCTTTTTGCGGATACAGACTAACACGGCTGCTACTCTGAAACTTAAACATAGACTTTGTTTAAGTTTGTTAATGTATTGTGCTGTTATGTTAGTCAGGAGTCTGCAACAGGGGAAGTGGTGGAGGCATAAGCGCCAACTTTCTCCTGTGGCCACCCCCTACTAGTTTCCCCGCCCCTGCCCCCATTCCAACCCCATCCCCAAAGTCCCTGCCCTATCTCTGCCCCCTCCCTGCCCCTATTGGATCCTTTTCCCAAATCCCCACCCCGGCCTCGCCTCTTCCCCCAGCCGCCACGTTCCTCCTCTCCCGCCCACCCTCCCTTCCTGTCCCGCGAATCAGCTGTTTCTTGGCGCAAGCACTGGGAGGGAGGGGGGAAAAGCAGGACGCGGTGGCGTGCTCACGGCGGAGGTGGAGGTAAGCTGGAGCAGGGGGATGTGGTGGGGTAATGGGGAGCTACCAGTGGGTGCTGAACACCCACCAATTTTTTTCCATGGGTGCTCTAGCCCGGAGCACCCGCGGAGTCAGCGCCTATGGGTGGAGGAATGGAAGGTGTTTAAACAGTGTTTTTTATTCTGTTTCTCCTCATTGGTCTGAATTATCCATGACATCCATACTCCATCACATCAAGTCCAAATCATTAGAGGAATGCCTGTGCTTGCACTGGCCAGAGGATGTTTGGATTCTGATGTCAGCCCAGTTCTGCAGCCTGATGGGAATCCGGTATTGTCCCCAATATACATAGAATTCTTCTTTGCAGCCAAACCAGTCTAACATGCTTTTTGTTAACTGAAACTGGAGCAGCAAAACAAAGAAAACAAGTGCCTCATTTTCCAGCTTTGTGGGTGAGAGAACTATAAGTGAAGATTATAATGCCAGACACTGACAGCCTTAAACCAGCTGCCTCAGGGATCTGCCACAAACTTCGCTGAAAATATGTTCCTCATCTTAGCAGCGGAGCTAAGACTTATCACACATCTGCCCACCTTTATTCGAATGAAAGCTCCGTCTGATCTGACAGCTCAGGCATTGTCAGTTTCATCCACAACAATTTACAAACTTGGAAACTAATCCTGTAAACCCTTAATCATTTGATCAATCCCATTGAAGACCATGGGACTATCTGCATGACTATGGACCACTTTTGTGGACTGGTAAGAGTTTCAGGAGTCTGTTCCTATAAAGGAAGTTGAATCTCCCCTTTAAATGCAACTGTTTGGGTACAATACCATAAAGCAGTTTAGGATACAGTTCTACTTAAAATTTGTCTTTTAATACATCAAGTGCTGAAATGGCACCTCACCCAACTCCCATATTCCATATAAACTGACTGAATACTACATATTGGGGAGGTTATAATGGGCTATAATGTATCTGTATGGGATTTTGCTGAGTCATTCCTCACCGGAAGTGGAATTTACCATTACATTACAGGAAGTGAAATTATTAAATCATAGGTAATGGACTCCTATGTTTCTTAGAAATGGAATCTTCCACTACATCACCCTATAGCCGCCATTACTGGATTTTCTAATTTAAACTATTATTAACTTCTAATTAAAGCCTTATTCTTAAAACTAATTACTAGTCTAAGCATCCCAAAAGGTCCCGACACTACCACCACTCTTTTTATGTCCAATTAAGCAAGTTATTAGTTTTCTGATTTTTAAACCCCCACCCAAGGTTTTTCTGCAATTTGAATCACTGAGGCAAAATCTCTTGCTCCAACTTGGCCTTCCCTCCCTTTAGGAGCTTCAGGGACATGCTGGCTGCTTCCGGAGAGCTGCACGAAGCCAGGTACGGAGCCTGCCAGCCCCACCAACCCTCCCTCCCCAGCACCAGTGGGGGTCCCGGGCCGTGCACTGCCATCCCCCCTCGTAGCTCCAGCAGGTGTCGCAGGCCGCACGCAGCTTCCCCCAAACCCCAGCAGGGGTCCCAGGCCATACGCCGCCACCCACCTCCCCCACAGCACCAGCGGGGGTCCAGGCCACCCCTCCAGCCCCTGCAGTGCCCCCGGACTGCCCCCTTCCCGAGCACCCACGAGCCCCCGGCCCAAGTTTTAGTTAGGGGTATATAGTACAAGTTGTGGACAGGTCACAGGACGTGAATTTTTGTTTGCTGCCTGTGACCTGTCCACAACTTTTACTAAAAATACCTGTGGCAAAAATGTAGCCTTAGTTATGAACCCAGCTCCCTATGATGAGGCAGGACGAAATAAACTTAGACCATCCATGACAGGTATTTGTTCTTAAGAACTTCCAGTGATGGGGATTCTACAACCTCCTTTGGAAGCCTATTTCAGAGCTTAAGTTTCCTTATAGTAAGAAAGTATTTCCTAACATCTAATCTAAATCTCCTTTGCTGCCCATTAAGATCATTATTTCGTGTCCTAATTCCACTGGACATGGAGAACCATGGATCACAGCCCTCTTTATAACAACCCTTAATATATCTGAAGACTTATTTTATAATGAACAGGGGAAAGTACAGGTTTTTGTGATATTCTGTATGGAATTGTGAAGGGTTCTTGGTGTGCCCAGGACTGTGAATCATCTTGTTAACTCCCCCTGCCTCCAATGAGAGAGAAACTTGCTAGTGCTTAATCGGGTGTCAGCTTTCTGACATCTCCAGTCTGTTAGCCACCCAAACAACCTCTGGGCTATACCAGCCCTTACTTTTCCTTGCAGGTTAACAATAGGTGCACCTCTGTCTGTGAGGCCCTTTGAAGCATTCCCTTGTAGTGTTCAGCCCCTTATTGACTGAACACTCAGGGCTTGTCTACACTTACCAGAGGATCGACACTGCGGCGATTGATGCATCAGCGGTTAATTTAGCGGGTCTAGTGAAGACCTGCTAAATTGACCGCCGATCGCTCTCCCGTCGATGCCTGTACTCCACCTGATCGAGAAGAGTAAGGACTTGTCTACATTACCCACTGGATCAATGGGCAGCGATCGATTCAGCGGGGGTCGATTTATCCCGCTAGTCTAGACGCGATAAATCGACCACTGAGCGCTCTCCCGTCGACTCCAGTACTCCACTGGAGCGAGAGGCACAGGCGGAGTAGAAGGGGAAGCATCAGGAGTCGACTCACCACAGTGAAGACATCACGGTGAGTAGATCTAAGTACGTCAACGTAGCTGAAGTTGCGTAACTTTGATCAATTCTGCCCCCAGTGTAGACCAGAGCTAAGGGGAGTTAACGGGAGAGCATCTCCCGTTGACATCGCGTAGTGTGGACCCCATGGTAAGTAGATCTAAGCTACACCGATTTGAGTTATGCTATTCACGTAACTCAAATTGCGTAGCTTAGATCGACTTTTCCCTTTAGTGTAGACAAGGCTTCAGTAATACCAGGCATACTGTCTCCAAGGAAACAGTATACACACCTGCTTGAATGATTCAGCTCAGGATCAGCTCCTTGTATAATACTACAGCCCTGAATATATTTATAGTGAAAACAATCATAAATTTATTATCAAAGATTAAGATTTAAGAGATCATGAGTAAGGATAATGGAAACAGAAGGGTTACATATAAAACAAACTCATAACACAATTCCTAAAGACTAAATATAACTTTAACAGACTTACTATCTGTCTTAAGAAGCTTCTCTTACCCCAAATGTCCTTTGCAGCGTTTCCACCCAATGCTGGTTGGGATCCCATTTTCATGATTGTCAACACACTGTTTACTTCCTCAGTGCAGGATAAAAGGGTTTGTTTTTGCCTTCTACTTACATTTTCCAAACTTCAGAGACAGTAAAACCCCCATTGCTGATTTTACATCCTCCCGTTGAATTTGTATGGCAATGACTCCACATTGTGTTACTTTATAGTGCTTAATTTACATATGGACCAACAAAGAGAGGTGAATCAACATCCTTTCTCTGGCAGAAACCTGTTTGTCAACTCTGCCTAATGCAGACTATGAGAACATACTTCCAGTAGATATACATAACTCCTTACATAGTAGCAGTACATACATTTTATGACACTATTCATAACCAGTGTGACACAGGCTTTCATTTAAAGCCTCACATGATATTCTTAATGCATAAATACTATGAAAGCAGTGTGCTAGGTATAGCGAATTTGTCAGGTCTGTTAGGAGTTGCTTTCTGAAGTCTGAGTTTTCCTAAACTTGACATTCTGGAAGGCCATGATTTTTCACCGGGAAGCCTTAACTCTGTATAAATGAAGATTTTGC